TGGAGGACGAAATAAGGCAGCCCTCCCCAGAAACCTTCTGCAAAGGCTTTCAGAGTATCTCCAGGAGAGCTTCATGGAGATGTCCCGGGTGGATTCCCGCTCCATCCCCAGACACATTAACAGACTTTTCCAGTAGCTGTACTGGCCGCGAATGCATCCCAATTGTTCAGGGCAAATCAAACATTAAACACAATTGCTTTTAACCCCTGTAGTGTCGTTACAAATGTGCACTCACCAGAGGTGCCTTCTCCACCTTCAGGGTCCGGGAACAATAGGCCCTGGGAGGGTATTTACTCCAGGGTGAGGAAAAGGTCCTGGCTGCCAGGAAGACCGAATTCTCCACTTGCCTGCTGCGCATTCTCCTCCTCCTCCTCCTCATCCACAAAATCCTCATCTGTGTTGTGTGAGGCTGCCACCTTGCAGGTGTCCACGAACAGCGGTGGAGTACTGGTAGGGTCCCCCCCTAGAATGGCATGCAGCTGATCATAGAAGTGGCATGTCTAGGGCTCTGACCCGGAGCGACCGTTTGCCTCCTTTGTCTTTTGGTAGGCTTGCCTGAGCTGCTTAATTGTCACATGGCCCTGCTGTGTGTCCCTGGTGTAGCCTCTGTCCACCACGCCCGGTGCGATTTTGGCATACGTATCAGCATTTCTTCTGCTGGATCCGAGTTCTGTCTGCACAGAGTCTTCTCCCCATACTGCAATCAGATCCAGTGTCTCCCGTTCGCTCCATGCTGGAGCTCGTTTGCGATTCTGGGACTGCATGGTCACCTGTTCTGCTGAGCTCACCACGCTGACCAAACAGGAAATGAAATTCAAAAGTTCCCGGTGCTTTTCCTGTGTACCTGGCTAGTGCATCGGAGTTTAAAGTGCTGTCCAGAGCAGTCACACTGGAGGACTCTGGGATAGCTCCCGGAGGCCAATACCATCGAATTGCACAGCGCTGCATTTACAATACCCCAAATTTGACCCACAAAGGTCAATTTTAGCGCTACTCCCCTCATCAGGGAGGAGTACAGCAGTCGATTTTAAGAGCCCTTTACATCGGTGGAACGGGATTGGTTGTGTAGATGCATTCATTATAAAATCGACCTAACGCGGCTAAATTCGACCTAACCTCGTAGTGTAGACCAGGCCTAAGGGTGGAATTTACAGATGTGCTCACTAGCATTGGGTTATTTCTGCTCCCACTGAAGTTAATAGAAGTTTTACGATCAACTTCAGAGGGAGCAGTTAGGTCAATGCTGAATGCTTTAGAAAAATCCCACCCATGTGCTTTGCAAGGCTAGTCCCAAATCAAGCTTTTAACAGCTGTCGGGTGTGAGTCAGCCTGTTTATCCATTACATTTTAAAAAATAAGAATAGATTAGAAGTTATAGTCAGCAAAACTCTCTCAGAAGATGCAGCATTTGTGTTCTTATTTGCAACAATTGGCAGACCTGAGTAGCCTTTCCAAAGAGTGTTTGCCTTTGAATTAAAAAAAAAAAGACTTTTGGATAAGCAAAAATTAGGGCCTGACTCTGCTCCTACTGAGGTCAATAGGACCTTTGCCATTGACAAGGGTAAGAGCAGGCCCTTTCGTAGTTAAGTTTCTAGCAAAATAACCGTTCTGTCCTTTAAATTGCAGTTAGCAGAGGAGCTGTACTGTATCACTTTATCTCCCTAAGTAGTTATCCTACTTTAGCTTCCTCAGAGGTCGGCTATTCTCTGTGATAAGTATATCCAGTGGAGAGGAAAAGCACTTAATCCTCATTTATCTGTCTGCTTTTATGACCCGACCAGGATACCAGGGCCGGCTCCAGGCACCAGCAAACCAAGCAGGTGCTTGAGGCAGCACATTTTCAGGGGTGGCATTCCGGCCACCCTTTCATTTTTTTATTGCGCTTGGGGCGGTAAAAGCCTAGAGCTGGCCCAGGCAACAGCAGCGGGTGCTGCATGGGGGGCGCCCTGGGGCTGCTGTGGTTTGCGTCGGGGAGCAGCGCCCACACCTTATGGCCGGGTGGGCTCCGAGCACGGGACACTCGGGCTGGGGTCCACCCCGTGGGGCGCACAGAGCCGCTTGCAGGTGCCGCAGGGCAGCTGCCCCCCCAGTGCCACAGTGGGGGCTGGGCGAAGTAGCCCGAGCCACCCAGGGACTGCAGCAGGGCGGCCAGGAGCAGCAGCAGCGGGGCCATAGAGGGCAGGGCGCTGCCATGTGGGGCCCGCATCCAGCTCTCCGGGGCTCCGCTCCCTCTGGGGCTACCCTGCCCTGGCTCCTCAGGTCCCTGCCGGGACGGTCCCCTGGCTCTGCCTTCCTGGGTCCCGGCCAGTCCTGGAGGCGGGAGCCCTGGCTGGAGGGACCCTGGGCTGAAGCACGGCCTGGAAGCCCCGCTGCTTACCTCGACCCTGCCAGCGCTGGACCGGCTGGAGGCGACGGGGGAGCGGGCGGAGTCAGCACTGGTGGGGGGAAGCCCAGGGCTGGGGCGGCAGGGGGTGCAGGTGGGGTGGAGGGGAGAGCCCAGGGCTGGGGCGGCAGGGGGTGCGGGTGGGGGAGGGTGGGGTGCGGGGGAGAGCCCAGCGCTGGGCCAGCAGGGGGTGCGGGTGGGGGGGAGAGCCCAGCTCTGGGGCGGCAGGACGTGCAGGTGGGGGGAGAGTCCAGAGCTGGGGCGGCAGCAGGGTGCAGGGGAGCCCAGGGCTGGGGTGGGGGGCAGCCAAAAATTGTTTTGCTTGGGGCGGCAAAAAACCTAGAGCCGGCCCTACAGGATACACGTCTATCAAGTCTAGAAAACATAGAAAAAAGGAGCAATGCCACAGGGCAAAGATTTCTCATGTGTCAGCTGTTCAAAAGGAAAAAGAACTTAGCCTTTGGTGGCATTCGACTCCTAGGCTAAAGGTTCTAAGGGATTGCCTTTGCCCCCGAATGTTGTGTGTGAACTCTCCTGAGAGGCCCAATGCAGCCTCTGAGCACACCCACCGATTGGGCCCAACATGTGACTTAGGCAATTGAAAGCCTTTCTTCTCCCAGTTTCATCGATCTCAAGCAGAGCTAGGTGCCTATCTCTGTGAGAGGGACAGGGCTTATCACACACCCCTCTGGTCTGCATCTCCCATTGGCTAGCTTACGTGGTGCACTGCCTTTGCATATCACCATCTAAGGCACCTATCTCTTCCCTTCAGTGTAAATGGAGCCTAGGCACCCAGCTCAGGCTTTGTGGATTGCAGCATTATTCCTGTCATTTTCTAGGTGCTCCACAGTGCTCAGCATTGCAACTGGGCCTTAGTGCCTAACTAAAATAGAAAGCAAACAGCTGTATAGACTTATGTTTCTACAGGGCTAAACTGACATCTCAAGCATACTTACAATAGTAACAGATGATAACCTCAGATAAACATCTGACAATATTGTAATAATGATTATGTTATGGGAACAGGTTGAAATTATGCCGTGTTACCACAATATGTACTTGTTTACAGGAGTTAAATTTTCCCTGTTTATATACACTGACCACTATTTCGAGAGAAGATAACAAAAAGGGGGAGGGGGGGAGGGATAGCTCAGTGGTTTGAGCATTGGCCTGCTAAACCCAGAGTTGTGAGCTCAATACTTGAGGGGGCCATTTAGGGATCTGGGTCAAAAATCTGTCTGGGGATGGGTCCTGCTTTGAGCAGGGGGTTGGACTAGATGACCTCCTGAGGTCCCTTCCAACCCTGATATTCTATGAAAACATTATATATTAGCCTGTAGCAACTCTGTTTAATTAAGGATCAGGGAAAGGAGAGGAATTCCTTAAACTTTATTACAGCATGGACCACACCTTAGATGGCTTGAGGGCATTTCCCTTCCCACTTTGGATCTCACAAACCACCAGCCCTTCCATCCACAATCAGATAATATCCCTCTGGCAACTACAATTGCTTATATGGAAAAGTAACATTGGGAAAGTATTTGATATATTTTTGGCTTCTTTTAATGACAATTCCTGGAAACAAGGAGGAGACGCTGCACTGTATGACTACTTAGCTCTCCATAGACAATGAGGGCTTTGGAGTAAGATCACTGACTTTAAGGGATTCAGAAACTCATAAAGGACATGTCTACACAGCAACGAAAAACCCGTAGCTGGCCCATGCCGGCTGTCTCTGGCTCATGGGCTTGGGCTGCAGGGCTGTTTCATTGCTGGGGAGACTTCCAGGCTCAGGCTGGAAGGCTCCCAGAGCTCAGGCTCCAGCCCAAGACCGAAGTCCACCCAGCAATGCAACAGTCCCGCAGCCTGAGTCAGCTGACATGGGCCAGCTGCAGTTATTTCTCTGCAGTGTAGACATACCCAAAGTAATTTTGCAAACTGTCTATGAAGACTTTGGATTAGTTTTCCGCAGTCTGTGCCTCTCCTTTGTTGATCTTGTAACTAGGTGTGCACACTGGGGAGCTGCACACAGAAGGTAAGTGTGCAGAAAAGCACAACGGTGTGCATTTAGCTTTGAAAGTATAGCTCTAATAAAACTTAAACAAGCATTAGGACTGAAATTAGCATTGTAAGGATGGAATGTGGTGAACTTTGGGCCATTTAATCAGTCTAAGTGCAGATCCATTAACTCCTACCCCAAATTGTTCTCAAAAGGCCAAGTCATGGTGTTTTCAGCTACTCACTCAATGACATGCTGGAGTTACACAGGCCCCCCTGTTTAATGGCTCTGCCTATGCCCTCCCCTCAACTGAGGGGCAACGTGGGTATAAGTAGTGCAGAATGTCTTGCATGAACACACTCTCAACATCTGGAAGAAATTCCCCCTGAATGAGTCAGCAGAAAGTTGTATTTGATGAAGGAACATAGGGAGCTTCTGATGACAGAACGGGGGAAAGGGAGTGCCATCGTCTAATGACAAGGCATTTTTCACCCCACAATTATTTTCTAAATATTTTCCAGGATGCAGATAGCGAAGGGGGGGGGGGAGTAAGTTAGCCAGGAAAGTCTAATTTTTTTTTAAGCTTGTTCACTTACACAGAAGCAGCAGCACATGTGCTTTGCTTAAATGGCACCTTTTACTTCCCTCATTGGCTTAAGTGGGAGTATTTAAATATACAAATTAACCCTGTAAAACAAATTCCAACAAAATATTTTTGATACATCTTCTCCTCCCCCAAACACTTTTTAAAAAACAGCATCAAAGTGCATGTTAGACAAAAAGATCCAAGTCCATACAATAAGAGTCTCGGTCCATGACTTTGTTCATTCATTTTCTCCAGTAACAAAAAGGTGCACGTTTTTTTTAGACTGCAGCATTTGAGCAGCACGATCTACACCGACCACAGCAGCCAACTTCTGAGCATCATACTTTGAATAGAGAACGGTACAAGTCCAAGTAGCTTCCTCTCCACTGGCTGTGGCCGTCAGCATATTACAAACCTCGCTGTAGAAATGGGGGTAGGTCGGTAACTCATAGAAAATGAGGTTTCTGATGCCCCTTATTAGGTATCTGAATGAGAGACAAATACCATGGTCACAATCTGGTATTCTGCAATCTGACTGCAGAAACGCTCCATTTACACTGTCCACTTATGAAAGTTACATAGTAAATTAAGGACTCAATCCTTTGAGGCTCTGAGCTCTCCCAATTCCCTGACTTCAGCTGGAGTTAAGTGCACTCAGGCTCTTCCATGATCGAGCTCTGTAAGTCCAATGCTACATCCACTGATGTCTGGGAGTCTTGCCATTGACTTAAACAGAAGCAGAATGAAGAGCTTGATCCTGCTAGGTATTGGGCACCTCCTGAAAAGTGCTGAGCGCCATCAACTCCCACTGAACTCAAACTCTTTGGATTTAACCCTAATACAGTAACGTGGGCAGTGTGCCCCAGTGTTGTCCAAATTAAACCAGTGCAATTCAATTCAATGGGGTTGTACAAATCCACTCATATAGCTCCCTTTTCTGGCTACGGGCTTACATTTAGATAATAGGGTTTTTTTGGCTCTGTCTCCCCTCACATACACACACATGCATCACTGAAATAAAATCCAAATCCCGCTTTGCAATACATTAGGAATTACCAGAGGAGTTTCATGTCGACTAGTTTAAGTGTCTGATCGCTTAAAATGCTTTTACTACGTCCAAGGATGTAACAACATCCAAAAGACTGTTGGAGTCTTGGAACAATCTTATGTATGTGCTAGTCAGAACAAAAACTGGTTAAGAACTGGGATTTCTGTTCCACAGAAAATCCCAACATTTCAAAAAAAGATTTGTTCTGAATTAGAACGAATAACCGAAATGTCATGCAAAATGAAAATTAAAACTGATTCAGAATCATCAAAATGTTTTATTTTGACCAATATTATGCAGTTATGTATGTAATAAAATATATAATAATAAATGTATTATATATTTCAATACAATGAAAGTTAAATGAAATTAATGGAAAACATTTTTACTTTTTTCCATTGAAAATTTCATCAAAATTGATATCAAATGTAGCACAGGAAGGTTTAGATTAAGTAGCATTTTTCAACAGAAAACTATTCCATTAAAAAAAAAAAAAAAAAAAAAAAAAAAATAACAGCTGTAGTCAGGACAAAGCACGTTTTCTGAATGGCCTTGATTTCTCAGTTACACATCTGGACTTTTTTTTTCCCCCTTCTTTAAAATACAGCATTAACTTAGTTTTAATGCTTTTTCCTAGACTACTGTGGAGAGGAAGGGAGAAGAAACCAACTGAAATATCCAAATGTATATATTAAAACCCAAAAAGAGTCACTTTGGGAAGCTGTCACACTGCCAGCCTAAGCACTCTACAGGCTGTAAGAGTCACGATATGGTTTGCACCCAACAGAGGACTTGAGAACCGGAAACTCTAGAGTTCTAAACCTGGCTCTGCTAGAATTTCCTTCAGGGGGCCTTGGGCAAGTCCTTTAACCTCCCTGCCTCAGTTTCCCAAATGTGCAAAATATAAATATGAATCGCTATCTCTCTGCCACACAGGGAACTTACAGAGAATGAGTGAATAGTTGTAAAGCACTTTAAAGATGGAGGGTCAAATTCTGACCTTGATGTAAGTCAACTCCACCTCTGTTCAATTTGGCCCCTAAAATGCTAAGTATCACCATTTCAAGAGCGTTACTTGGGGCTGGTCTACACTAGGGGGTGGATCGATCTAAGATACGCAACTTCAGCTATGTGAATAGTGTAGTTGAAGTATCTTGGATCGATTTACCTTGGGTCCTCACGGCGCGGGATTGATGGCCGCGGCTCCCCCGTTGACTCCGCTACTGCCGCTCGCTCCGGTGGAGTTCCGGAGTCGACGGGGAGCGCGTTCGGGGATCGATATATCACGTCTTAACGAGACGTGATATATCGATCCACGATAAATCGATCGCTACCCGCCGATATGGCAGGTAGTCTAGACGTACCCTTAGAATATGGGTTTAACCACAAAAGCTATATTCTAAAGGGGCAAGAAAGCTAGAGTTGGTGGGAGGAGAGGGAGAGAGAATGCTCAGACCAACAACAAAAAACCCAACACAGTCTGCTGTATGATCTGTATTACTCAAAATAGCAAGACCCTTATACTCAGATGATGGATGCCGAAGAGATGGCTCTGCGATACTGTAAAATTCAAAGTATACGGGATGTGAGTGTTTCAGGTCAATTTATGGGCATAAACCTTATGTTTTCACAGCCTTTTTATAAAATGAGATTTTCAAGCTAATCTACATCCTGCTGTATAGAGACTGGAGATTCATGTGGGGACATTCTTCCTGAGGCAATGCTGGAGAGCCCTGAGCAGCTGTAGGTGCTCTTCTGAACGTAATTTAGCAGAGATCCTGACCCTGACGTGCTCAATAAGGATCCTATAACTTTTACGCAAGGTCAGTTTCATCAGCCTCTGGGCTCCTAGCAGAATCCCACTTTTGTAATTTCAGGTTGCCTAATTAAATTTCACAAACAGTTTCAAGTAGAAAACTTATTATGGCCCCCTAAAAACTCTCTTAAGTAGTGCTGCTGTCATGGAACAAATTCCATCTTCCTTTCCAGAGGTGAAAGGAATTATCCCAACACAGATGCAGACTGTGATGAAAGGTACTATTAGGCCAATTCTGGATGGTGTTGTGTTCCTGCAGATGTCAGTGGGAGTTGGGTGCATTTACCAACTCCCAGCATTGAGCCCTATACATTATTTAATGTATTATTAAATATTTAGGGGGATACTTGCAATTTTTGTCTGTGTTAATCTTTCATGAGGCTCCTACTTCAATCTTAGAAGGATTCCCCAAACAGGTTACATTGGTTCATGAACCAGACCACCACCACTCATCCGTTACTGCTAGTTTGAGGCTAGCATGTTCCCACAGGGCCAGACTTTGCTTTCAGATTTCCATATGTGCATCTCAAAGCAGAATCTGGCCCATGGCTTACCTTTTGTAAAAGTGGAAGCGTTCAGTGAAAATTAAGAACTGCTTCTCTCCTTTGAGGAAGAATTGTCTTGCTCTGGAGATACCGGATTTTTTGGTGTATTCACAGATGTGTGTAAAATTCAGCTCTTCCTTCTTGAAGTAATTTCGAAGACGCACATAGTCGAAATACGATGGAATGTAAACAAGTGTATGTGACATGATTGCATCACGATACTCAGGCAAAACTTTGTCAATGAAGAACTGAAACCTGGGTTAAGAAAATGCACATCAATATTATCCTGAGTCAATATTCATCTTTCCAACATGTAAATGAGCTTTCTTAAGAATGGTGGTTGGGTGGGGGGGAGGAACCCTTACAAAACGAACAAAAAAGAATCACACCAACACCTCCCCCCCACATAACCTCCAAACATTATTATTCTGTGTCACAGTCAAGAAAATCTTTACACTGACCAAGGTTTCCAGACTTGAGAAGGGCTAAACACAAAGGTACATCAGTGCAAGGGTTCTATGATGTTGATTGTAATCTTTAAAAGAAAAATGGGGAGGGGGAGAGAGGACTAGGGGAGAGGAAAGTACCAGTTCATTTATTTGACTGTGCTGTGTCTAACCCACATCTGATGAGCAGTAAGAGCACATATTACTATCTCATTCTTTTTAGGCACACCAGCCCTGTGGGGCATAGAGTGCATTATATTGGACTAAGCACATTTGAAGCTGCAGACACTGGGGCATAGCAGAATGGTTTGGGTGACAGGTTACCTTGCATCCATTACAGAAATAGAACTTTCAGCTTCCAGCCTTCGGAAGACATGAGGAAGCTGTACCACAACACGGCTAATGGAGCCAATCGAGGGTACGTTCCTTACAGCTACCTGCAGGAGGTAAGTCAAACAGTTAGAGAAGCAGTGAAACATAAACGGCATTTAAAAAGCCTTCACATTCTAATCAGTTTTCAGCTAATGACATACTCCTTCAGGCAACAAACGAGGCTGTTTTGAACAAGTCAATAGAGAACTACTGCCAGCACTACTTCCACACAGTATCTGAGTAACTATACATGACATGCTTCTAGGAGGATAGGGGAGTGGGAACTAACACACTGCTTTCTGTATGCCTTTTGCTCATCTTGGACAATCATCTGGTCATTTTCACTTTTGGGTTCTCATGGATTAGTACAATGCTGCAGTGTCTGGCTTGCAAGCAAGTTAGAGGGAATGTAACTTGTAAACAAAAATTCCATTGAAACACCCTCCACCCCCCAAAAACAATCAACACCCTCTATTAATAGCAAGGTTTATAAGATTCAATACAAAACCAAACCCTAAAATTTGACCTGAAACTTTGTCACCTCAGGAATCTCCACAACAACTCTGTTTGCACAGTGCCTAGCACAATGGGGTCCTTTCTTGGCTGGCTCTTAGGCACTGCCATAATAAACACATTACATTAAAAAAAAAAATCTAATAGATCAAATAAAATTACAATGGAATCTCTGGGGATAAGAATGGTCGCTTAAGGCAACAGTCTGTAGATTAAAAACTGATGTGCGTTATATGAACTATTGGCACATGCACAAACAATAAGAATTTCTGTTGCTGTTTCTTCACGTTGAAGATTAACATGGCATCTTGTCAGAGGGTGGCTGGCCCTTCTAAAGGGAGATAGGTCACAGTCCACTGTGATGGCAAATTATTGGCCTCCACAATGAAGAAACTGAACTGTCACCTGACTGACAGCCAAGTGACTAAATCAGGCCTGGCCTCTGAGGAGGCCAGAAAAACAGAGGTCCATTGATAGCCGAAGGGGCTCAGGGGATGATCTGCAGAGGGAAGCTGCAGGATGAGAGAGTCTCCTGCAGTGGTCCATAAGGTAGGGAGTTGTGGTTGAGCAGAAACTCCCAGCTGTAGGTTTAGTTTTCCTTTTGGAGAGAAGACAAAGAAGGCAGGATCAACCTTGTGTCTTCTCCAGAGGCTCAGAGAACCATAAGGGGCAATACCTCAGGGATGCGGGGCTGGGACCAGCTTAAGATGGGGTAGAAGAACTTGTGTTTATTTTGAACTTTATGTTAATAAAACCAAACCCAAAGAAGGGCTGCCACCAGACTCATTAAAGATGCTTGGGGAGAGGGGGGAAGGGCAGGGGGGGAGGAGAGTGCGGGGGAGTTAGACTGAGGAATCAAGAGGGGAAACTGAGGTAGGGTGCAGCAAAGCCACCCTGGCCACAAGAGGACACGTAGGAAGCAGCTGATCCTGTTACCCTGTTACCTACAAAATCTAAGATAGTTATCGGCCTGTCCGTGAACTCACCTGCCCTCTGTAATTGAAGCAGTTCTTATTGAAGATAGAGTTAATCTGGGGATCTTGAAGAGCACTAAACAGTAGCGTTTGACGATAATACTTTGACCAGTTATTCAGATTCAGCATGCGCACTCGTGAAAAATCTACACCATGGGACTCCAAAGGAAGGAGGTTGAGGTGGTTCATCAGGTGCTTTAAACAGAGAGAAACAGATGTATGTAACCTTAGACTACGAATGCACACTTGGCAAGTACGTTAACTGCACTGTGAAAGCGAGTGGAAATGAACAAATCAGCCGACAGCATAACAGACTAGCAGGCTCCCAAAACACAGCTTTCTGGATCCTGCTCACTCATCAGATGAACAGTAATTTACTAGATTTCTTTCTACAGGACTTAATTAAAAGTCATTAGCTCTTCAGACTTTAGAAGCTTAAAGTGAGATAGATTTCAGTCTTGGTATGGTCCCAGCTCCTGATTTCTTCCCCATGTGGGGCCAGTTCCAGAAAGTCTAGACCTAATCAATAAAGCCAAAGTGGAACCCACATAGCACTCAGTGACAGTTATGAACATAGATGGTGAATTCATCCCTGGGCAGAGGAGACAGCACCAGGCTTATGTGCCACATCAGTGAATTTCACTCAGAGAAACTTCCGGATTGGTATCAATGAATGCATTTCTGTTAATATTCAGTTTTATGCTTTTTTTCCCCTGGGACATGTTACTTAAAAAAAGACACTCTCCAAGCTCGCTTCTGAAAGCGCCGCGTTAACAGTGCTTCTTAAATCTCAGGAATTTATACCTGGACACCTTAGTAGGGTGTTTCAATCCAGCAGTCTCATGGAAATCTGCTTTGTTTTAATACAGTGAACAATGTATTTTTTTTCCTGAAAGATACAGAGCTAACATTTTAAGTAGTAATTCAAGGAGTGTTTATAAATTACCTAAATTCGGCAACTGTCGGGATGCTAACCCACCTAAGCCAAATTCCAAGGCAGGCAGAAAGCAACTTCCTTTCCAAGTTCTACACATCGTTACAATCAGATACTGTATTCTACTTTATTTTCTGACCTGAAATGTTGTATAATGTTATTGTAAGCTGTCATACAGCTGCTATGTTCCCTCCCAGAACTGGGTGAAGCAATCCCTGTTATCTTCCTCATAGGGTTGTTCCAAGATTTAATCAACAGTTGTGAACGTCTTCACAGAACTTTAGATAAAATGTGCTACAGAAATGCCAAATACTGAGACCTACAGAGTAAAAGTGCTGAGTATGACTGAAATCCAAGGAGTGTTATAGGCCTAGCAGACTTCAGCATGCATCTGTCATTCCAGGACAAGATTACTTTTATAATGGGAAAATGTTAGTGAGATGAAACATTATTAAGTGGAAGGCACAGAGAGAGAGAATGAAAATTTGACAGAGTTTATTGCTGGGGATGAATTATATCACTAGTTAGACATAGTATAGCATGTCAAACAAATAAAGTAAAATGGGGTGAAAAAAACCTACCAGAATATGCTCCCAATTCTGCATTAGGTAAACATCTGCTTGATCAATTATAAGAATTTCTATCGATGAGAGGAAATCAAAATCTCTCTTCTTCTCCCCCTCTGCCCCAATAATGGTCCTCAAGCCAAGGGGAGAGGCAATGATGATATCAGAAGAGTAAAATGGTGCATATAATCGCATACTCTTTTGAAGAATAGCAACCCCTGTCCAATAAAAAACAAAACAGCAGTATTTTCTTGGTATGTTTGACTTTTTGATCACTGTATTTCCTTTTCCCCCACCCCAAAGGGTCATGCAATGAAAAAAACCACAATTCCCTCTCCATCTCCCCAACCCCTACAGCTTATATCTTTCTCCTTTAAATCTTGTTGTAATCATTATCTTACTCTGTCCAAGGAGGATTGCATGGAGCATCTTTAAAAATATATCAATACCATTCACAGATCCATAGGTTACTAAAAACACAACACTCCCCTCCTTCAAAAAGGCAGGATGACCCATTCTGCTCTCAATTCCATCAATGCCAGTTTGGAGTAACTTTATGGACACTGGTTCTACACTAGCATGGTATATCAGGCATGCTGGGCTGACCTAGGTAATGTTTCTTGTGTACAAAAATAAAGTGATGAGTTAGTTATCCAGGTCATGACTACATCATTGATGGTATTTGGGCCCACAGCTTTCTGTGCCCAAGTTAGACACTTGGGGTAGAATTCCTGATTTAGTGGCAAAACTCCCACTGACTTCAACAGGGCCAGGGTTTCATCTTTTGTATGTTTTGGTTAAATAAAAATAATTTTAAAAACTCCTAACTGGAAATCAAGCCAATGAAATAAGCTACCAGAGGGCATAAACACACAAGACAGAATTACAATTTAATGTAACACAAACATTGACAAATATTTTTTTAAAATATTAAAAATAATAATGAACTAGTAGAGTTTAAAATGCATTCCCTAATCCAAACTAAAAAGGATTTTAGTGCCTAGAAAACATGGTGATGGATGCCATCATAATGCTGCTGCAAGATGACAGATGACGATTTCCTCTCTATTCAGATGTGCATTTCTTCACAGTAGTAGGTGAATCAAGACAGGTTTTTGCATGGGGATGGGATGTTGAAGAGAGTGATTTCGAAGCAGAAAGCAGTGTAACTCTCAGTAAATCACAGCTATTCACTGGTGAAGAGGGGCAAATGCTTACATTTCCCACGACATTATCAAATATCTTTGAAGGCAAATTTATCTTTCAAGGGACAATAATTTTAAGAGCCTCTTCTTCTCTGTCTAGATAAGTTTGAACAGCCACCTACTCCTCGTGGCATCAAGCCACAAGCTAATTCTCTGCATACCAAGCTACCAAGCCAGCATGAAATTTCAATTTATTAAACAGTCTTGACATTTTCTGCTCAACTAGTATTCATACTCACTGCCCATCCTTTGCATGCATGAAAACTCTGCTGGAAAACAAATGCAATATAGTAGAAAATTGCTTTGTTCATTACAGAATTTCTAATTTTCCTCAGGCCATTACTGATTAATAACTTCAGTGCAAACAAACTGCTTTAAAAACAATCAGGAGAAACTATAGTCATTAGAGGCGGAAGAGGTCCATTATACCAAGTCCATCCTTTCTCAATTGCAATGTGGATTCCCCCCAGCTCCAATAAAAGATACACTGGGTTTCAAAAATTATATTAAACTTGATCTTAACCAAGAAGCAGAAAAAGATTTCATAATGTTACTTTACCAAAAAAGAAACTTGACCTGGGATGAAATTTTCAAGAATACCTAAACTGCATTTTCAAGAGTGATTTAAGCACTTAGGAGCCTAAGTTTCATTGGAAGTCAACAGAAATTAGACTCCTAAGTCATTTAGCAAAACTGTATCCCTGCTCTTTAATTTTTAGAACTAAAATATTGATAAAATATTGATTTTATTACCTATCCTGAAATGGTCATCAATGTTGCCTGCAAACACAGCTTCATAATCTTCAGGTCTTTTCAGGTTGGGAGGTTTCTCATCTGGATCAGAACCAAACTCCCCTTTGAAGCGCCTTTTGTTACTTACATCTATTTGTTTTTTACTCCCTGACTCAAGGAGGCTGATGAAAATCTGCACCACCCGTAAGGCAGATTCACGGAAGGGCACTACTATCAGCACCTGTATGGACCAACACAATTACAAAAGGATAACTTCCCTCGGTAACAATGTCTTCTCTAGAGAAGAAGGGAATGCACATCACCCCATGAAGCACAAAAAATACAAAGAGGCCTGAATTTTATTTATTATTACGCATAGTACCCATTACTATGCCATCTGGATTAAAGGAAATATAGGTCCCTTGCAAACAAACTCCAAGCTAGAGGTTTGTGCCTGAGTAATGAAAGCCTGACTGAACAGATATGATTGGGTCCTGAAGCTGGCTCAGTGAAGTGCTTCAAAATGCACTTCCACTAAAATAGGCCTTAGCTGCCGGCTTCCAAACACCTTATTGCAAGTCAGCTATAAGTGACTCAGCTGGAACTAGAAATGCAATGAGTAAATGTAGCCCCCTTTTCTGTGAGCAAAGAGGAACCGTTGGAAGTGGAACCTGTGAAGTTCTGCTGTACAATGGATGGGGCTGGATGCCCGGGGGCTTACCCCCAACCGTGGCCTGGAGCTCAGCTCTGCAAAGGGAACTCTGGTCATTAGCATGCAGGGCATGGACAAGACACGGGCCACTGGCACCAGAGGATTTGCCACTCTGAAGATCCTTCTATTCTCCCCACACAAGCTAGCAAAGCCCCGCACACAAATGGCTGGAGTAGCCTCTACACAGCTGCTTGGACTTGGTGCTGTATTTGGATCCAAGTTTGGTTCTAGTAAAAAAACCCTCAAAATACCTAAATATTAATATCTAAATAAACTGATAGAAGAAAAAAACCCAAACCAGATGTTTTTAAAAGGTGATCAGTCCACAATGTACCATGACCAGCCAACACTGGAACTTTTAAACCAGGCCACTTACACTTCTAGTGACAATCAGTGCAAACTGCATCCAGCTGTCCATCAATCAGTTTATGGTGGCTTAGTGACATGCTCCCTATCAAGAACATAATTTGATTGCAGGACAGCTCTAATCTGGGCCTCATCACCAATGAAAGGGAAAAGTGGCCTGATTAGAATCTGATGGGACTGGATCCCCTAGAGCCAATACAGATAGATCCCTGCTGATTGTTAGTTGACATAGCAACAGAGTTATGTAATAACATAGGAGGAATTTTGGTCCCAAGTTATGCTGCACCAGATACAAAGAAGTCTGAAGCAAAGCGTGACCCACAATGACAGTAGCCCTTGAGAAACAGGGGGAAGGGAGTGGGAACTCATAAGGCTTTGGCTGAAGAGTAGTGACTACACTGAACCATCTCCACTGATCCTAAGGGCAGCAAGTGATTTTCTGGGGCAGTCTGTATAGATGTTGACCTCCAACTGCAGCAACAGTGTAAGTTTTAAAGGGAGATATGGAGGCTCTTTATTTGCTAGTGTAGCAGGAATGGAATAAGAACAAGGAAGGATTCAGAGTAGCAGCCGTGTTAGTCTGTATCCGCAAAAAGAAGAACAGGAGTACTTGTGGCACCTTAGAGACTAACAAATTTATTAGAGCATGAGCTTTCGTGGACTACAGCCCACTTCTTATAATAATTATAAATTCAAGGGATCCAAAAAGCCAAGATATATGTCCTTCCATGATGATCTAACC